TCTCTACATTGACGGAGTTTAAGAAATGACGCGTAAACAGAACCTGGTTTGCAGAATTCGGTTCACTCGACGGTAACGGTTCGTGCGGCACATCCATCCAAAAAAACCAATGTAGACCGGCCTCTACATCATTGAATAATTTGTTCATGATCGCCTTACCTGACAGTTTCGATCACCGATAGTTACTGCCCACATAAGCTTAACAAGAGAATTCTACGTAGCGGAAAACCCTGACGCAGTTCGTTTTGGTGCAACTTTTGGCGTACATCAATCCCAGTCTACGTTGCTAGCTACCTTGCAACATGTGGCATACGAACATGATGCTGCAGTTCATTGTTTTCATAATAATAAACATTAAACTCCATTTTAGAATGCTTGGTTCACTTCTTCATTCATCTGTTTGCCACCACACTCTGGAATTATGCCCTCGTATTCCACAACTGCATTGTGTGGACTGACATGGATGCAAATTTACTGGCAGTGATATCCTGCACACTTGAAGGTAATGTTTACGGTCCAAATGCACGGAGGCTTTCGGGTTATTTCCAGAATCTCACCCAATAATTTTGAACAAATACCAGTCAAAGGATTTTATTCGATGGGTAATGGAAGTGCGACTGACGAGGCCTATTTAACAGACATCAACCTGTACATTCTGCCTGGCAGTCTTCTATGTGTCTAAATCTGTTCTGGTTCCCCCCACATCCGCTGTAATCAAACAAAATGCAGACTCCCTTTTCTTTGCTGAAGTAGTAATGTGGCCATTTATGTGTGCAGTTACCGACAGCCACTTGGAGACTGCAATACCCTGAAGAAAAAAATTAGGTTAACAACATTAAGATTAGTAAAACATTTGTAAGTGTAATGGTGAAACACAAGGAGTGTGTACATATGCCGGGGCGGTAACTTCAGTGACTCTCTAGTGTTCCCATGATATTACTTAACGCAGTCAATACTGATGCACACAGGTATTTCATGAACAGAGGAAAAAGAGCATCAATGAATAGCATGGAGAGTGTGAACACTGCAATGAATGACCAAACAGATTTACTTTAACTCTACTTCCGTGTTCAAGCTCTTTCATTGTTTGTGAACCATAAAAATGAAAACATCGAAGGGTACAATTTTCCTTGCAGGAAATCAAGGACGATGGAATTTCGAATATGAGTTGACACGTGCCGAAATATCGCATTTTTATTCGCTTGTGTATTGTGTGTCGATTCTTCGGTTAATCACAAAATTGCATGTTTAACCGCACGTCTACGAAATGCGCGTTATTTGAGACTAATTTAGATAGAGGGGAGCATTGGAAACCCGCAGACTAGGAGAATGTCTCATTGACGTTACGCATCACTCATGAACCCTATCAAGAACGCACACATAAGACTAGTCATTGGCATTCAGTATCCTGTATAGCTAGAAGGATGACGACCACATATCATCGCCTTGCGAGGCATTCAAAAATTCAGTAGAGAGATGCAGATGGTATGCAGTACAGCAATGATTGTTTCATTGGGAACTGAGTAGTAACCATTCAGAAACGGCCGATGAATATCCGAATCCTATAAACAGGCGCTCATGAATGAACGGTCATTTTGATCCCATCTATACAAACACTCGGAAAACCAAGTAAGTCCATACAAAAGCTTACGACTCAATAGAACAAAATTAACTCTCAGATGACATTCAACAGTCGCTTGGAAATGCAATAAAATGAGTTCAAAACTTCGATGGATTCAAGAATGTACATGAAAGCATATTGCGCTTTCACACCAGGATAGTTTGCAATCAATTCTCAGTGAAACATCACACGAATGCGTTATCACCTCTGGGATTCAAATAGAGATTCATGTAATCTCAGGCGCCAGAAAGAACAAAATTAGAACATATTCTAACTGTAGCTTACATTTCCAGCTGTGAACGACTACTGCAAAGAAAGAGAGAATAAGGATTGTGCGATGCATTTCCTGTGGAGAACTACAACAAACACTTGAGCAGCTTGCATTTTATACTCGGTGAATTTTCACAAATTATGCACGACACGTTCGCGACTTGTTTGGCGACTAAGAAAAACGTGTCAAGTTCAGAATATGCGAATAATGAACCAGATAAAGTGATCTGAATTGGCGTTGGTTTGAAAGTTACTTCAAATTTCAATGAAACCACATGGCTTATTCCGATTTTTTCTCATATGTCTTGTACCATTTTTCGTTTCATTAAAAATTCGGTGAGAATTTAACTAATAACTAGACGTCTTGTCTTCCTGCAGTATCTGGTCTATTCATGCACGCTTGTTGCGAGATAGCTTGGAAATAATTGCGAATTACAGACAACTGCCAACTTCACTGAATTTCTTGGATGAAACCATGAGTTCGGTGAAAAAAATAATGAAAGTCTGTTCAACTGGTTCATGAAAGCAGCCAAGTACACTTCTATTTTGAGAACTCACCTCAAAACTAAGCCAGCAAACTGATCTCCTTGAAAGACTTATTCGAACTCACAGACCACCAGATGCATTTTCCGATATCCATCCTTCTCGTGAGATTGTTTTTTATGTGGAGCGGAATATTGCCGTCACAGATTCTTATTACTTAATCCATGGTTGTCATCATGAGATCCATCCATGTGGGTTGATTTTTTAACGTGAACGTTCCAGTGCCTTGGATGGTCATGGGAACTAAATTGACATAATTGAAAAAAGGATGAATATTCTTTACAGAGGAGAAGAACGTAGCAAAAAAATATTTGACTTCTTTTCTCTTGGCTTTCTGAAAAGATGGGGAGGATAAGGAAAAGAGAAATTATGAGATTGAGGAAGGAACGCTCTCACAGAATGGTGCGTGCGGCGTTCACCAATACTGCAATCGCCCAGTTTCGATTTGAACACATATTCTAATCAGCATATTCCACAAAATCAAGTGGACTTCATCAAACCTAATTCTTTGGCCAATCGTGTACAACTGCGTTATGGTAGAGCATAACGCTGATGGGAACTCGTGAATTACGGCTATCGTATATATCAGAACAAAAATGAAGCGCATTTTGAGGTTTGAAGTGGTTCCAGCAATATTGTGAATACTTTCCGTCAAGTAAATACGTTGAAAAGTCACTAGTATCGTGCATAATAAAACATCAGGTGGCCTCGGTATAGAATATCCAATTGATTTCTGTACACTTAAATTCGTCTCATTGAATGCAAACATTATGCGAGTCTGACGATTGATTTACTTCGAAATAGCGTATTTTCCAGAAACTATTCCGCTACACAGGAATTTGGCTAGCATGCTTGAAGCGGTCTTGTTTCGTCTTGAATCGTATCATGTACTGAATGACCGCAACCGACTGACCAGTGCTTATGAGATGGGAATCCAGTACCCATATCAGTTCATCATGCTGATACTAAACTTCGGAACGCCCTGCTGAGTTGAACTCTTCCATTTATCTTTCATCAAACTTCCCTTTACAGATCAGTCGTATTCACCTCCCAGATATCAGTTTGGCAGCCTGTCTATTTATTGACCGACTTGATTTGAATCCATCGACAGCGCAGCGTCAAAACACGCCTCTAATTGCCCCGTAAATAAGCCATCTCAGATATTTTAGGTATTTTGTGAATCTTAAAATAGCGGTCAACCGAAATTCGCTGTGTAGTGTGTGCAGGCATGTATAATCATTATTGGTGAAAGGGTGGTTTTATCTAAGTGACCACTTTCAAACAGTCCCAGTAAACTTGGACTCGGAATACCGCGAATTGTTGAATGACCTTGATGTTTAGTGGTTTTCGGTTGAGCTAGTCCACGTTTGAGCGGAAGCTTCGCCGATAAACATTAGATTCAGCTAAAGTGGTTCACATAGTGCAGATGCCACACACATGCACGGAATTCCAAGGTTTTACCATGAATTACTTTTACCCTAACTAACCCTCATGAAAGCAAACCGTAAAAATTAAGCAAGCAGCACAACCCACCTTGCAAGCTAACGTTGACCTTGACCGAACTGATCGGTAATTCACTACACACGTTCGAATCAAAGAAGTCTCATCACCACTTTTTGAGTCAGGCGCAATGATCTCCAAAATTGGCAGGAATATTTTGCACACATACGTTTGAAGACTACCAAATGAAGAAAAGCATATGCTTTCTGTTATACATGGTCAGGTGTGAGAATCATCTACAAGAAACTATACTGAGCGCGAAGCACCATGCATAAGACCTTCATAATTATGTGGACAGCAAAATTGGTGAGCTAACGCAACTTTTTGACCGTCACTGTAGGAAGCCTCTCTCTCTATCAGAGCCTCGATAGATTGAGAAGCAAGATACCTGGAAGTGGAACGATCATCAGTTCACCAACCACAAAACCAGAGTCACAGGCGATTGTAAGCAGGGCTGGAATGATGGTGGGTGGGTGGCTACAATCGTCAGCACCGTATTCCTGCGTTGCCTTATTCCACAGGCATTTCAGGGCAAGCATAGACCGAGCTTACTAATACCAACGTTGTTCTGAGCTACCAAGCGGTCATTATATCATGCTTGCTGGCAGAGTAAGTGCCCTCCATTTCTCAGCAAACTGTACCGGATTTGGATATAGCTGGTTGGCAACCGAGAAAATGTGTTTTGGAAACACAAACCATCGAACCGAAAGAGGGGAACTGAACACCGTTTTGCATTTTACACCCGTCCGGACTATCCCTGGACCTATTCTAGCTCTAGATTTCACGAAGGCAACTTGTGCTCAAACGGAAAGCCATACGTGCTCTCCATCCAACAGCGCTATGGATATCAAGCACTCCATGTTAATTACTGGCATGGATGTGGGTGACTAAGTTACTGTTCGATAGACGTTGTCAGCGACGAGTATAATGCCTGGCACGACTATCTAAACTTCCTAGAGTGCTTCAGTAAACTTACGGAGAACGACCAGTCCAGCCATAGAATAAATGTGGGCTCGTTTGTAAAAATAAGTCTAAATAGGCAGGAAGGGCACCGGCAATGACACACCTGTCAGTATTTTCTCTTTGTCTGCCTGCATTTATACACCATTTGAATACTATCTGGCCCCTGATAATGTGTTTGGATATTTTTCGACAAATTTTCTCCCGAATGGATTGGTCCATTTAGGACTTTTCTGCGTTGTGTACTGTGTTCCTTTGATTTGATTATCCCACCGCCGTTTAGGTTTAATAACTTCCTTCCTGGAGTTGGCTTGACTTCTTCTCGGTTTGCATTGCGTTTCGGTCCAGTCTTCTCGAGGTAGATCATTTGAATGTACGGCTAGTATGATTGCGTTCGCCATTTAATTTCGCATTTTAATTTATCGGCTACGTGCCTGCCTCATTCAAATTGACGTGTGCGCTTGGATTAGGGTTTTCAGGCTCGCCTGTGAATTCGTCGTCTGGTTGTTTTGCAGCCCAGAGCTCTGTCGTTTGGGGTTCTCTTGGTCTTGACGCTCGATAAATAGGAACATTTTCAATCGCTTTGATGACACCTTCGTCAGTGGAGTACCATGCTTCCCTAAATTCCACATTTTTTCTTCGTTCTTACTTGAGCCAGTATGCGAACGCCTGCCTCGTCGAAATCTTTCCATCTGCAACAAGTTCACAGGTTTGTAAGTGACCATACTATTGTACCGTCAGTTCAGTTGTGTCCTTGATTTATCGAAATGTGACTCGTAATTGGCATCCCGAGTGATCTACAGGTATGATAACCTGGGCCTATGGAGCAGTTTGCGTGAACGTTATTCTTCTTTATTTGTGAACTCTCTGGTGGCGCACTGTGTTAAAAATCCTCTCAAAAAGTGTCCAAATGAAGCTTAGTTGTGACGGTTTGGATGGTTGCTGTGATAGATTAGAATTTTGTTCATATACATTGCCTTTTTGTGGACCTCATACTGAAGATGTCCGTTCAGCAGTCCAGTGGTAACGACGTCCACAATTTTTTCCGTTCTTCACTTATTATACTGTGAAATCGATATGGTCGAAAACGTTGTTTTTGTACTTAGCTGGCTCGGTGAATTTTGTCCCTTAGGATGACTTCCAAAGTGTCGTCTACGTAGGGGATTTTTTATCTGGCAACCCGACTTTCGCCCAACATTTCTATTGTGATTTTTGCAGTCAGTCCTAAATTCGGCGATCCAGTTATTGTTCCTCGTAGCTGTTCGTAATATTCACGTTGAACTCAACATTTCTATTGTGATTTTTGCAGTCAGTCCTAAATTCGGCGATCCAGTTATTGTTCCTCGTAGCTGTTCGTAATATTCACCGTTGAACTCAAAATATGTGAACAGTCATAAACCCATTTACTGATAGATGTCTTGTTTTTCCAGCGGTCCAGTTGGCATGCCGCCGTTGTCTAGTAATTTGGCCACAGATCTACAGGCGCGAATGGTGATATCACACCAAATGAGGAAATTATTTATTCATGATCGATGTTTACATTCTTCAGTCCCTACAAAATGTGGCCATAATTGTTGATGGAGTGTTGGGGCCCACCGATGTTATATTCCAACATTTTTCATAGCCCTTCCGAAGGATGGTACGCCGCTGTTCTTAGGGGAGGACTACTATGTTCCGGGGGTGTATTGTACCCTTGTGGACCTCCGGGAGTCCGTGAGAACTCGGGGTGGCCGAATCATTTATCTTGCGGAGATCCAAGATGATTGTTAAATACTTAATTATTTTTTGCCAGTTGATTGTTGCGTTCACGTTCTGAGCGGCGGTACGTAGTTATGTATTCAACTATGGCCTACGACCTATTGATACAGTCCGGTTTGTCCACGATCACTCTTAAGCGCCTCGTGTCTGCTGGAATCACTATGAGTTCAGGCTTACTTAACTTATTCATTACTTATTTCTCTTTGTAGTAGAAGATGTTATGTTGCTTGTTTTGTGCGGCGACTTCCTAGGAATTTTTCGCCGGCTGTTTTCTTCGGCGCTTTCAGGCTCTAAGTACTCTAAGTTTGATGCGTCTTTGAGATCGTTCCCTTTAGCTTCTGTCGGTTGCCTCTTGGATATATTCCTTAGCCGGGCTTCATGATAATCAGCCCTGCACTACAGGTTGCCAACTATCCTTGCTTGTGGCGGTAAGTGTACGCAGCCCACGGCCTAGAAATGATGTCTCTATAACTGATGAGGAAAGGTTTGCAAATGATTTGCCAAACTCGACGAACAAATAAACGGCCACATGACCAGCAACCAGTCAACTCGCCCTGGTTACAGATATTCCGACACATGGTCAACGTACTTGTAGCGGTCATACGCCTTGGGCCAGCTTTTCAGTTTCAGTACTTGGATGTTGGTCAACGCCGCCGAATCATGTGTTCATTTGGACCTAAAAGAAAGATGAAAGACGTATTATCCTCTATTGTGCGTTGAATTTACTCACCAGGTTTTCGCGCAAATTGTGTTTGGAACCAAAGTCCCTTTTGACTGGTTCACAGTAAATAGAGCCCTGGACAGCTTTATGAATTAATTATTGCTTCAAGCGCACAATACGACCTTGTAGTGGGCGGCCTGGTCACATTTGTATATCTTATAGTTGGCGCGATTTTCATCATCTTTCGATGCCGTTTCGCGAGCGTATTGCATATACTTTGGAGGCTTAGCAAAGGATAAATTGGACGTTCAGCCAGACAAGTTTGTTATAGCTCCGGAGATCATGAACGTTATACTCCTTTCTGTGTTAGCTTCTGCAGCCGCAGCTGTGAAAAACGAAAGTAATATATATATATATATATATTTGTATACCCACATTGTGCGTTGTATCTAAACAAACTTCACATTTTCAAACGAAGTAAAATGTTATGTGATCCGATTCTATTTGATTATTGCTTCGGGAAATCCTGTGAAAGCGCGTATTTTTTCCAGGCGTGTCCTGTTCCCTTGTATGCCATGGTGTGCTCTTACTTTCAATACACCGATTGCTCCGATGCTGCCTAAACTCACATTTTTTAACTCTTGTCGTTTTGGCCATTGCGCAAATGACTAACAAATATCCGTCATACAGTTCCGTCCTTTGTGTGTTCAAGTGTTCTTTTAAATTCAAACCGCAGGTCCTTCAAATTATTTTTCGAACTGGTTGGCAAACTAAAGGCTTCCTGAAAGAGGTCCATTGATTAATATCTTAGAGTGACTAGTAAACTTGTTTTTTGGAAGGGCACATTTCAAGGAGCGTCTACAAACGCAAGCCTTGTAAGAGTTTCCATGAGCAGACGTTCGCAGAGAGTCTCAGACCATCACGAGGTCGCTTAATAGAGTGCGTTCTGCTTGGTCCTTCTGCTCGTCCGAACTTCTACCGATTTGTTTCGACGGGTGAATCAGTTAAAACCCAGCTCAGTATTTTGGTTATGATGATCTTAATCAATTGACGTTGACTTAGAACATAAGTTTGGGATATTTTTCCACCTGATGAGCCCGAAGAAAGACGTGACTGCTCGTGGGCTGTTTTCGGCAACTTTATGAGCATAGTATTGTCTATAGAAAGTTCTGGCGTTCTTTTTTACCATGATAGTTATAGTTCAGGCGCTTCCTACACTCAGATGATCATGTCTCTGGTCACGTCTTATGCGACCCAGTTGATGCCTTCTGTCAATTCTACCAACCCGCAATTTTCCCAGTTTTCTACATTCGTTTTTGCATTCTTTCCGGCTATATGTAGTCTCCCAATGGATGTTGGGCCCTGCAGGGTTGCCAAGCCAAGTTTTTACTTCAACATACAGTCGGGTGAATGTGAAATTTTCACTTATGGTGGATGTAGTGGGAATGCGAACAGATTTACCGATCTTGAAAATTGTCAAAATACCTGTTTGGAATAGTGTCTGCAGAATTTTACAGATTATACACATTTGTATTCTGCTCAAAATACATCTATAAAGTAGTATTTTATGTTGCTTACGTGGGTTGGACTGAAGTCCTAATATATTAGAAAGACCAGTTTGGCACATTGCGAGATAATCATGATGAATATTCGTGCCCTTCTTCTGCCGCGCTGATTAGCCGAACTGGTGCAGAGTTCCTCTGCTTACCGAGGCAAGTAGTACACATATATTTTATCGGTACCTGTACAGAAATTGGCGAAAAAATATCAGATGGATACAGGAAGGATGCTCATGAATGATTTTATCCTGCAAATTTTGAAAGATATGTAGATGAATAGCTGGATGGGTAGGTAGATAGACAGAGAAATTTCATTTGACCGGTTTTTGGAAGCCACTTATTAGCTAAATTATCAGGAATCAGAATAGCTGTCTGATATCCAGCAAAGCAGATCGTTTGAAAAACTGGGCACCGTACTTCACACAAGAATTCAGTTGGCCACATTTTACCCTTAACTAGACTGATGGCCTTCCACACAAAGATATAGTGTGAAAGTAAAACCCATCTTAGCCGAAGTGCTGTCCGAATTTGTATCCCTCTTAAACATCGTGTTCGTGACAACAACGGCCTTCCGCCTGCTCTGTTCAGTGACAGCGTTGAATTTCTCAGCCAGTGCTTATTCATTCCATTTATGCTTATCTAGGAGAAAGTGATCAACTCAGTTGAAAGAGGTAGGTGATAATGTCTATTTTCTAAAGTGACATCTGTGAAATTCGATACCGCAGATGTGTACGTTTGACCCTCGTGGTAATGAGACCTCTTGCATCAGTTTATTTTGATGTCTTAGGCGACACTCAGATCTCTGAACGTGAGCGTCGAGTGAGATTTTGACCAGGTAGAGGCTGGATCGACCACATCTTCACACACCATCAAGTGCTAGAGCAACACCATTTGTACGAACGACCCACAATTTTAGTGTCTCGTGACCTAAAACGTGCATTCGATTGAGTCGGTTTGTCAGCGATTTTAACGATACTTGCTCAACAAGCGTGCCCAAAAAGAATATAAGCATTACCCGGCCCAAATATTCACATATTTCTTGGCGTGCGAAAGTGTATGTTGAGCACTTCACAAAGTATATCTACAAAAACTGTTGCTTGACAAAGATCTCTACTCCCTCCATTTTGTTCGACATCGCAATAAATGAAATGTTGAGAAT